GCACCTCCCTCTTTTCCAGGACCATTTTTCCTCTCTTGAGATCTTGAGCGGATTCTTGTGGTTTTGGCCACCTTTGGTTCCTCGGATCCACCTTGTGGACCTCGTGACTCACTTCGTTTTCCCGCCGGACAATCACGTCGGGAGTGTCCCCTTCCAGAACAGTTGAAACATCGGCCATCTTTGGAGTCCAGGACAGTGTGCGTGAATCGGCACCGGTCAGCATATTGGCATCCCTTATCTGTCAGCCAGTTGATGCACGCAGTCTTGTGGACCACATTGGCCGCGTTAATCGGCAGCTCGGGCTTTTCTCCCCTCCTTCCGGTGGAAGAACCTGCTGCGTCTTCTGGTTTTCCCTTTGAAGCGCCCTTTGGTGGGTTTCCAGATGAATCCGGCCCACTCATTGACTTCACCCCTACCACATTATTGGGTTTAGCCGCTGGGCCCTGTGTTATGTTCCCCGGTTGACGGAGAGCCATTTCACCAGCTTCAGCTTGAAGAAGTTCAGAAAACGTTCTGATCTCTTGCATTCCCGGCCGGAGATCTATGCCCAAATGCTGTCTCACCGAAGACAACCGGTAGGCAGCTTGAGCTCCCCCAATCTGGCCAAGGCATCACTCATTTTTGCGACCACTCCGGCCAAAACCAGAGGATCGGGCAAAACCAATTGAAGTTCTTCGGCACGAACCACCCATCTTCTCCACTTCCGGATGGAGTTGACCATCTCTGCAGCATTATTAGATGGACATTTCCAGTCCACCAACATTTGCAGCAGGGCAGTTCTTTCCACTTGTCCCCCAGGTTGGAAGACGGTGTACAGCTTGAACATGACTTGACCCGCTGACATGTGTCTGTTCGCCACAAGGTCCTCGTAGATGTCCTTGGGGACGGCTTGAAGCAGCATACCCACCACCCGTTTCTCTGTGCGAGGCCACCTACGGGCCATGTCAGGTATCACAGGCGCCATCCGGAGCCTCATGAGTGGATCCGCTTGCAACCAGTGGTGGTATGCTTGTTCAACAGCAGTCATCACTACTTCCCACCATTGCTCTGAGGTGTAGCTCACATCCCCAATCATCTGTTGGGCAACTGTCAGCCAGTCTCCAAAGTCCAAAGATGTTGCATTCCTGTCCAGCTTCGGCAATTCGACCGATCTTAGCGTTTCGCCTGGTACTTCTCCCCCTGCCTGAGGTCCTGCTTGGACTACAGCTTGTTGTTGTTGTGGCGGTGCAGCTTGTCCTGGATTTCCTTGATGACCACCTGGGAGACCGGGATTTCCCTGATGACCACCTGGCGGACCAGGTGCTTGTCCGTGATTTCCATACTGCCCTGGCGGTGGACCCCCTGGCCAACCATAACCACCCATAGGTCCGGTGTTTCCTCCCGGAAATGCAAAAACCCCTTGAGGTCGATGATCTTGTCCTGCAGGTGCTCCTCCAACATGGACTTGAGGATTATACCATTGATTAGGTTGGTCACCGATGAAAAAGTGTTTTGTGTTTTCCGTGGCTCCCATGCAAGGAACTCCCATCGGTGGTCTTGACGCCGCTCTCTGCGGCATACCTCCCGGTGGTATTCCAATTAGCCACCCTTGATTCATATACACATCCATCGGCCGAAAACCTTGTTCGACCTTAGGCGCAGGAGGAACATTCCACAACTGACCTCCCGCCTGCATTTGAAGATCTTGATCATGGTGATGTTGAACTCCTGGAACTGGTTGATCTTGCACATGTTGTACCTGGGGTGGAACACTTGAGGTGGCCCCACAGGAAAACCCTGCTCGACATTCTTCAGCTCCGGCGAGGCGGTTTGATAAGACCCCCCACTTGACTGAGAGCCCTTGTGACCTCCTCCGGCTTCTCGGACCCGTTCCAGGGCACGTTTCTCTTCCCGCGTGGCTAACCAATTTTCTCGATCTTGTTGGATCTCGGTCTTGCCCCGTTGAAAGAATTCCATCATTTGCTGTTTCAACTCCTCATACTTTTCCTTCTCCCTCGCGTCCGCCTGATCAAACAGGTCTTGCGACACTATGGGATAAGTCAGCTCTTTCACTGGAGTTTGTGGACTGCTCATTAGAGCTTCCACTCGCTTGGCAGCACTCCATGGATTCGTTTCCTCTGCAGCCATGACCCCGGTTACAATCCCAGGATCCACAACCGCCGTTCCCCACTGAGGCACCATTCCCGTAGGTGGCACTCCAGCACACATGGATTGCTGGGACATCCCAGCTACTTGCGAACCCTGTGTTCCACCAGTTGCGGCATACACCACAGGTGCTCCCGCTGGCTGGTAGATCACAAGTGAGCCTGTTGGTGCCGCTGGCACCGATTGTTTGACGCGTGCATCTTCAGGAGATTCAACAGGTGAACGTCCCGGTCGCTCCAAAAGAGCAACGTTTTCCACCAGCCGCACCTCCACCCACTTCAGTTGAGCTTTGGTGTTTTCCACCCTGTCCTTCTTCTCGATTACCCACAACAGGTGGTTCACGAAATCCCTCAGACATCCGGGCAACTACTGGTGTTTGTGTCATAGGCACTCCCGAAAGAGTTAGACTATTCACACCTGGGGTCAAACCAGACAACAGACCACCATTCCCATTTCCTCGTACCACTTCAAGTCCAGGAGGTTCTTCAGGTGGTAAGGACACTGGTCTTGCGACTTCTTCCGCAACAGCCGGATTCTGGGCGATTCGTTCGCCCGCTCCAGCCCGGACCGCCGCAACCTGCACTAGGGCTCCACTTCCCCCAGCACCGGTCAGTGCCATGACACTTTCTCCAACTTCCCCTTCCATCAGTGATCTTCGGGTTGAGTCTGATGATCTTGTCCCTGTTCTTTCCCCATGTGCTTGTCCAGGTGCGTCCATCTCCTCCAGAAGCCGGTCCAGCATTTGGTCTGCCGTTTCCGCGCGTTCTTCTTTTCCATGTCCATGGGTCCCATGTTGTACTTCTTCAGCATGAGCAGCCGCTTGAACTTGGCGTTCTTGTCGACGACGCTGAGTGAAGTCGCTGCTCGACATTGCTTCAAGGCAGCGTTGGGGTTGGGCTCATAACCCACGGGTTTCAGACTATGACCGAGACCCTTCCCGGAGAACCCCACCAAGAGGCAGATGCTGGCGCACCTTTTCACTCCAGATTGGGCTCGGTGATCTTGAGCCAGTCAGTTGATTGGCCCTTGAGCCAAATTGCAACAGTCGGAGGACGTCTCAACGACTGTGAAAACTTTAAAAAAAAAGACCTTAGTGGGGGTGCAGTGGTACTCTGTGCATGTTTCCCAAACCGCAAGTAAAAATAGAAATAGCTCAGTATAATGAAATAACAAAAATAATAATGATTATGACAATGATAATGCTGACGATAGTATCAAGAATAGATGTTATAAAATAGGTTAAACCGATTGTATGTGTGAAACACTGTTGCAACTATATGTTTGGTTCCGTTAATCAGGATATCAAAAATGTGTAAAGCACTGTTAGAACTGATAGTTATTGATAGTAACTAATAGTTTTGATAGTAACTAACTATATACTATGTGTAAATATATATATATGCATGTATATATAGGCGCTATATGATTGTGTGTGTCATGGTGACAACAAGTGAGATACTTAATGTGTCGGAAAATGCTATGAAACTACAATTTGATATAGTTAATTAATTAATCTATTTTTTGGTGTTAACTTGATGTATCTGTAAAGCACCATACAACTATATATGTGTTTCCATTGTTTGATTTTTCACAGGGATTTTCAACAGAAATTTCCCCGGGTTTTTGCGGCTGGTCGAACTTGGTTTCCCCAACTGAGGTCTCATAGCAAAAGGGCACCGTGGCCGCTAAAGCCTGCAAAGTTTCAGGGACTTAGTGGTTCCAAGCATCCAAGACATCAAGTAGTATTGTGCTAGACTTAACCATCTTAGACCCTTGGGTTTTTAAAAATAGATAAGTTCAGATAAATACATATAAAATCATATAAATACATGAAATAAACAACAAAAATGAAGAGTTTTCTTCTTATTTCTTGATCTACTACATCACCATGAAAAACGGGTTTCTCATGGCTTCTCTGGACACAATGCAAATGACGGCTTCCTTCATTGTTTTTGAAAGGCACTTCTCACGGGTCCCGCCTGTGTCAGCGCCGTTGGACATGCGTCCTCCGGCTCCAATGCTTTGCAGCTCCAGGTGGGCCTAGCCAGGTGATTTCCATTGGTTTTAGGGAACAAATCTGCAGGAAACCCTACCCTCTGGTAAACGTTTACATAACTATGGAAAATCACCCTTTTTAACTGGAAAATCCACTATAAATGGCCATTTTCAATAGCTATGTAAGCGTTTACCAGAGGGTAGCTTTTTACATCAAACCCTGCAAACTACAAACCCTGTACCTTTCCCCCAACCCTGAAACCCTATAAAAACCCAAAAAAGAACCGAAAAATCCTGAAACCCCAAACAACCAATCTGTAAGGCCCTAAAACCTGAAACGCTAAAACCTTGAAGCCCTAACCCAACCCCCTAAAACCCGAAATCCCTAAATCCTGAAAGCCAAAGTCAAACTCGCATAACTCGCTGCATATAGCCAGTTTTTTGGTTCATCCTCAGGTGACAAGTCTATAAATGAAATATTGTCACATTTCTCTCTGTGTATTCTTTGGGCATGTGCGAATGTAGGGTTTGGCGCCTACTTACGTGTTACGTATTTTTACTACAGTAAGTTTTTACTGTTAAAATTGGGGGTTTCCAGATGGGTTTCCAGCAATTTCTTCCATCCAAGTCTGGGATCCCTACTGTTTGTGCTGGCGTGCTGGTCCGGAACACCCCGAGAAGTTCAACTTGTGGCCATCTTGGGCCAGGCCAAAAAAAACAAACACCCGAAGTTCATAATCACAGAGAGAGAGAGATATATATATATATATGTGTGTGTGTGTCAAATTAATTCAATACAGACAGTATCATATACATATATAGTTCTCATGCGTTCTCATAAATAATTACCTTTGCTTAACCTAGCCTTTCTGCCCTTTTTTTTCAGACATGGCTATGCGAATGGTAGCCGTGTCCCAGGGTTCTGCAGGCTTCTGTGCTTCCGGGCGCTGGAAGCGTTGCCTGCGCAGCGTGGAGAGTTCTGGGAGTTTCAACGTGGAGATGGGCCCTGATGGCCACGGATGCATCACTGCGGGTCGATGGTCGATTCTGGAAATTCTATGGATTTGGGGCTCTCTCCTGGTGACTGTGGCATCAACAGCTGTTGCAATTACAGTGACTTTTTTCCGCCACCCCTTTGGATCCAACCTGAGCTCTCGGTAAAGAGGGGAAGCTGTGCTGGTTGGCGGCAGCCCGAACCAGTGGGCATCAGCAACTCGAATTGAACGCCAAACAGATTCGTCACCAGCCAGATATAGCATAATATGGCATAAGTTTGGCCAGTAGTTATGAACAGATACATCACTTGCCCATGAAAACCCCGCCCGACCCAGTGCTGGCTCCCCAGCACCCCCGGTGATCCTCGGGGCTGTCCGGGTCAAAGGATGGGGACATGTCCACTTCCACCGCTTGGTCTCTCCTGCACAATGGTAACCCCACACGGATTCATAGCGGTTCATGGCGGTTCATAGTGGCATTGACATACCGCGGCGATACAACTTACCCTCTGGTAATGACTAACATAGCTATTGAAAATGGCTATTTATAGTGGATTTTCCCATTAAAAATGGTGGATCTTTCCATAGTTATGTAAACGTTTACCAGGGGGTATAAGTCATAACCAACAGATATGGTGATATCATCTCAGCCTCCTGATACTACTAGACATCCCCTTTAGCTGGGTCCTAAATAAGTGTTCTTTATTTGCTTACTAAACCATAGGGGGAAGGGATTAACATGGATTAACACCATTGACCTAAATTTTGTTTTGAGGGTACTGGACTTGGAAACTAGGCTGTGGCTGTGGGAATGGTTTGGTTGCCTTTCAATCTTGGATGCCCCAATCTGCACCCCGCATACACTATAACTTTGATTGGTCCAACCCCAATGACCACACATACGTTCTGATTTCAGATGCTTTTGCATGATTAAACTTTCAGTTGAACCTCTTGGTCGTTAAAGGTTTACTATGGTTGCCTATGTCCAGATGAATTGGACTGTCGCAGTGCCATCTATGCTGTGTGTATGGGTTGCTCTCGGCATTTTCGGCTGGTTTGCACTGTAGCTCTGGTGCAACGATTGCAGCAACCTCAAATATGTATATATTATTAAATTTCACGAGCTCCTGGGTTTTAGTGTTTTTTAGGGAATATTGGATATCAAGGTCAAGATGCAATATTTGTTGCAGTGTACGCGCACAAGGGTGGCACCAAAAAACTTAAGCGTCATGGTTTGCACGGGTTTGCACTGGATCAGCCTTCCATAAATGGAAGTGGTCCAATAAATCGTTCAGAAAAAATGAAACGGTCGGAAACGGTCGGAAACAGTCGGAAACAGTCGGAAACGGTCGGAAACGGTCGGAAACATGATCAGGCCAAAACTTGTTCAACCAGCATTTTTTTTTAAATAAGCATTTCCGCGCAACGCCGTTTTTTTTTTGAAGGTCCAAAGGTGTCCAAGGGGAAACGGTTGGAAACAGTCGGAGATCGCACCTTCGCTCGGCAAAAAAAGAGTTGTTTTTACACAAGTTTTCAAACATTTTTCAAAAATTGTGTACAAAACATACTTTTTTGCCGAGCGAAGGTGCGATCTCCGACTGTTTCCAACCGTTTCCCCTTGGACACCTTTGGACCTTCAAAAAAAAAACGGCGTTGCGCGGAAATGCTTATTTTTAAAAAAAATGCGGGTTGAACAAGTTTTGGCCTGATCATGTTTCCGACCGTTTCCGTTTCCGACTGTTTCCGACCGTTTCCGACCGTTTCATTTTCTCTGAACGATTTGTTGGACCACTTCCATTTATGGAAGGCTGATCCAGTGCAAACCCGTGTAAACCATGACGCTTAAGTTTTTTGGTGCCACCCACTGCACCAAATATTGCATCTTGACCTTGATATCCAATATTCCCTAAAAATCACTAAATCCCAGGAGCTCGTGAAATTTAATAGTATATATATATATATATACATATATATATATATATAGATAGAAAAGTGGGAAACCTGGAAAACCTAATTGGATATCATCCATAACATCCTGGTGTTTCCCCTTTCGATCTTTTGGGGGGTTGCCTTCTGGTTGCCTTTCTATCCCGGGTGTCCTGATCACCACCAAAGGTTGTCTGAAGGTCATCTGCAATGGTGAGGGATCCACCTGGACCTCGAAACGCGAAACGAGATCACGGTGGTTCCGATAGCTCCAGAGATGTGACGAAGGGCATTTGATACCCTTCACTATGCTATAGAATAAAACTGCGTATATATTTATATACATAATTTCATAATATTTATTGTAATTAATATATATATATATAAATATCAACACATAGCACCCTCTCAAAAAATAGAACAGTAATATCCTATTTTAGATAGTGGTAATTTACTTGTCGTTTGCGGTTAATATGCATAAATCTGGATAAAGTATAACATAATTCACTAACCTGAAATGATGACGCAGTGAGGTCGTTATAGTTTATATTATGTATTCAAATCTATTTGATATATCCGGGTACATGTTCTTCATATCATTGGCCCCCATGTTTCATGTGAGAGCACTGCGGTCCCCGAAAAGCAGAACAGCAGAAAAGCTGTTCACCCAATCCTCGGATTGTGGAAAAAAAGATTGGCAAATCATCCGCATCGTTTCTATAGTTTTAGGGGTGGAGCCATGAAACATGGTAATTGGGTGGTCCAACCATCAATAACTGGGATATAGTCTGGTTAGGATATAGTCTGGTTACGCCATATCATAGTCATTGCCCCAGGCTTTCAAATGGCAAATAGGAGTACAGTAATAGTGAACAACAGGGTACCCCAACCACTATTATAACTCCAACCACTACTATAAACAGCAAATAAATAGAGATATAGATATGATATCCAAATATAATCATACAATAGGATACATATCTATATATATATATATATATTATATATATAAAGTAGATACGAGTCTCAAGGCATCCCGACACTGACATCTTCCGTGGATGCATACCCTGGCCTCGATGACTTGGAGATGACATGTCCCAAATTTTGGGACGTTAACCCCATGAAAAATGGTAGGAAAATCATGGAACATGTCAGAAAAGGCCATGTGAAAGAGTCTTTACGGACCACACCGTAGCTCATCCCCTTAACTGCAGGGGTGGGGTAGTGGCCCGCCTGTCTGCCTAGTGTTGCACCCGGGTATTGAACACGGGTCTGACGCATGAGGGATGTGTCTTATCCACTAGACCACACCGGCCCTCTCAGAAAAGGCCATGTGAAAATCTGCGAAACATCACCCTCGTATGGAAAAATGATAGTTAACACCCATTGATCCCCTCTTCCATAATGGTGAAGGGTGATGTTGATGGATGGAATGTGAGGAAATAAATTTTGAACAAAGCTGGACAAATGGGTCGGGTGGGCCAAGTGTGCCATGTCCAATGGATGGGGTTCACCCCAGCTACTCCAGCTACCCCAGCTACCCCAGCTGCTTGACCTTGTGACCGCCACGTCATGATTTCTGGATCTGTTTTTAACCCCAAAGACAGGCTTTAAAGGTGCTCGAGGAATTCCACAAATGCCTGGTTTTCTCAAACATGGACTCAGGTTCAAAAAAATCTTCAATGTGGCACACCCAATGCCACAAACTATCCCCAAAATCACCATTTTTCTGGGTGGGATTCCAACCATCCCCAAATGCCAGGTTTATCCAACTATCCCAACCATCCCCAACCATCCCCAACCATCCGCATTAGCCCCAGCTGTTACACCAAGGGCCACACACAAAGAGAACCGGCTCCACGCTCAGCTGAAAGTGGTAGATCACACCAGCCTTACTGGCGCTGAAATGTGTAGTGGTGCGTAGCATTTCCCCCCAAAAAAAAACGAAAAAACAATTGGGCTGATGTTCACTTGATTGCTTTCTATTGTCTCATCTCTCTAGTAAAATGAGAAAGAGTTGGATCATAGAACTGGATGATGGGAAAATTTACAGGAAACCCCTAAATTTGATGGTAAAAACCATGGTTTCCTGTAGATTTTCCCTTAAACCAATCCAATGATTGGAGGTTGGAAGCACGAAAACCGCCACCGGTGAAGCCCCAACACCGCACTTTGACCCCGCCGCTGCTTTCAGCCAATCCAAGCGGTAAAAGCCTCGCTCTGCACAGAGCCGCGACATCGATGGCATTGGAAGAGGCACCTGCTGCACCAAATACTGTCAGTAAATCCAACGCCATAAACCTAGCATTTCGGGATGGTTTCTACTTTTCCACCAACCAGTCATGGTAGTATGGGGATATATGGGGATGGTGTATAATTAAATTTATCACATTGATGTACCGCGAAGGACCTACCCAAGATTGCTGCTTATTGATGCTTATTGTCTGCGCGTAGTGAGGAGCTCATCAGATTGTAGCTGGGCTAGGAGGTGTCAGCTACTGGGATTTCAATGCTACTCATGATGAGTCGTCGGAACTAGTCGGGGGAACCAGTTGGGAAAACGGGAGGCGAAATCCATGAACCAATCATAACCTTGGAGCACCCATCAGGATGTGCATTTGACCCCTTGGCTATAGTTTATCTATGATTTGATTATATATGTATTATTGGAACCTATTATCTATTACTATTTATTATTTTTGATTATCTATTATTATTATGTATGATTATCAGTTTATTGGAACCTCAAGTGTCAAAAACAAATCTGCAGCCGAGCGACTGGCAAATAGTCCAAATCTGAGGAGTGGGGGAAGTCCTGCCGGGAATCAATGGAGCAAAAGATGCCAAAGTTGTGACCATCATACAACTCCAATAACTATGGTTTATAATTAGTTGATATATCTATAGTTAATGGGTTTATAAACCAATGAGTCATCATG